TCTTTATCATCATTAGACGATCCAGAGTCAGACTCAGATTCAGATGAAGACGAGGACGAGGACTCAGATGCGGTATCGTTAAAATTTAGTTTTTTACTAGCTTTACATTTTCTCTTAGCCTTACATGAAATGTGCTGGTGTCGAGAAATATCCGGGTTTGCCATCGCGTTTATAATATCTTGCTGAATCTCGGATTTCACTATCTCCAGTAATCGGCGAAGAGAGATCTGAATATTTTATTTGATATTTGTTTAATAATATGGGATACAGCTTTATCAGCTTCGGTCATTGTAAATGTTAAATTATTTTATAAATACGAATTTAAAAGTGCAGAATTAAATATCCAAACAATAGTTGTTTTTTCCAATATATATAATGCCTAATTTACTTGATCTGCTTCCACCAGAATTAATACCATTCATAACGAAGTATCTTTCGATCCAAGATCTTAAAAATTGCTGTAGTCTAGATAATATATGGAAAACTGAAGTGGTTAGAGAAATTCGCAAAAGATTAATAGTGAACTGTACATTTATTGATAGTAAAACAATTGTTAAAGCACTGATTGATCCCAAATCCCTGTATAACAGTATCAGTAAAGCACTCGCCCGAAAAATGGATTTATTATTATATATAACAAGGACGGATGGATCTAAATATCTTGCAGTAGGAGCTCTTGGTATTGGCGCAACAAATGCTGGTAAAAAAGTGATGGTAAGAGGATGGCTTCGTGATAAAGATGTTTCTATTTCTTTACCCAATATCTTTGAGTTGGAACCCTCCTCATATTTGAGAAAATCATATGAACATTTCCTAGTTGTTGACAAGCCAGAATATGACTTAGTTTTGGGAAGTACGTGGCTAATGAGATTGGGTGGTAGGATTGATGGACGCGATGGGAGATATTGGGAATTAATGAGGAAAAAAGAATATATTACGCGAGAGATAACATTGATATAGTGTCTCCTTCATTATACATAGTCACTCTCGATAAGTCGGACTCATCGGGGCGGAGATTTTATCCGACTTATCGAGAGATCCGACTTAT